ATAAATCAAGAAAATAAAATTTACAGATAAATTAAAAATATATTAAAAAGTATATAAAATTCCAAATGCTTTCGAACATTTATAGGTCTCACATTAGGTCATTTCTGACCTATGTTGATGATTTCATAATGATTTAAAGTGATAGGAATAGAAAATATATGAAGCTTATATAAATAGATTAAATAATGAAGGCTAAACATTAAAAATTTGTGGGTTCCAGTATGTGTCACTTCCGGTTCATTTTCATGTTAGCGAGTTGGCCTGGACCTGACCAAAATTTTCAAATGGGTCAAAAATTGGAATATGAACTCTACCTATTTGCTAAATGGGTTGACTTAAAACCAGATATTTTGGGTCGAATTCTTGTCAAATTTTAGGTCATGTGAAATTTTGACGCCCCTAAAAACAACCAAAATAATGAAATCCACAAAAACGTTTTCAAGATTCCAAGGATCCATTATAATAATAACACAATAGCTTCCAACAACCTATAAAGACCATTGGAGGAACAAGGTGAAAGAATAGAGGATAAACACTAAAAAGTGCACTTTCATAACAAGATCTTTCTTTTTTAGAAATTTTATCTTAAAATAATGGATATCTCTCCAAAGCAAACTGCCCTTTTTTCTTTGTCTAAGTATTTCCTATTTCTCACTTTCTAATTTCAAGGTTTATAAGAAGATATTTATATTGAGTGCTAAAAAACATAAACCAGAAATAAACTGAGAAAAATATATCAAGGAGAACATATAGTACAATTTACAATTTATATAGTATGATCAATATAAAGTAATCCATGCATTTCAAATTGTGTTACGTACGATTGTATAATCTTATTCAAATATTATATTATACTTAAGTTTGATTCATATTAAGTAATTCCTTAACTTACGTTGCTTAGTTAAATTAAATTAGAAAATCAATCATATAGTACGATGTATTTTGCACAATATAAATAACTCAAATTTTGAATTAATTTGATTAAATAAATTAATAAATATTGATATTAATTTGTATTTAAATATGACATATCATACAATTTGATTATTTCATAGATAATAATTCTCAAAATCTAAAAATCACTTATATATATATATATAGGATGTTAGGCCCTATGAACTAGTCCCGAGGCTAACCAAGAGGGGGAGGGGGTGAATTGGTATTTTTAAAAATTCTTTAAAACCAAAAGAACGATTATCACAAACAAAAATCACCACAGAAAAAAATAAGAGCGGAAAATTAAAGTGCGGAAGCAGTAAAAAGAACACAAGGGTTTATAGTGGTTCGGTCAACTTGACCTACGTCCACTCCCCGGAGGCGCCCTCCGAGTATTGCACTACCAACGTGACTCTCCTTGAGCCCCCACAGCTAGGCGAAGAAGCCCTTACAAAAACACCTCCTTTTTTCCACACCCGGTAAGGCAGAGAACCCAACTCCTTTTGCTTTCTCCTGAAGCAGGCAGAGAACCACGATCACTTGCTGAAACTTATCTCTCACAACCCTTCCAAGGACAAGAGGCTCAAGGGAAGAAGAAGTGGAACAATGCTTGGAGCAACCCTTGTGAACCCCCTCATAAGCTCCCCCTCACAAGATCCTCTCTCTCTCTCCTTTAGGTTTTTTCAGGTCAAGACAGCAGCTAAGGATGTTCAAAAACGTTGAGCAAGAGCTCTTAAATAGAAGAGCTTCAAAGGAGCTCATTAATTGCAAGTTGCCGACTTTATCGTCCAGGACGATATGGAAATTGTCCTGGCCGATTAGTACAAATATCATAAGATCGGCCAGAGCATCGCCCTGAATGCAAACTGGACGATTGAAAATTTGCTTGATCGTTCCAGATGATATCATGATCATCCCGGCCGATCAGTTCAAATCAGATGAAAATCGTCCAGAGCATCACCCTGAATTTGAGCTGTCTGATCCAAATCGGCCAGAGCATCGCCCTGAATTTGTATTGGCCGATATTTATCGTCCAGGAGCAACCAAGGGTTTTTGAATGGATCGTCCAGGCTGATATTGCGATCGTCCAGGACGATGTTATCGTATCAATCATCCTTAATTACTCCCATGATTGTCGGATCAATTTAGGCATAATTATGCAATATCGTCCAGGCCAATAAAAGAATCGTCCTAGCCGATTTTCAAAAATACAGAATACATAAATAGATCATGCCGGCAATTTCTTTCTGTATTGAGCATATCGTCCTGGCCGATACAGATATCATCCAGGCCGATCAGTTAATTACGGCTGCCTTAACTAAGAATCCTGATTAGATCTTCTGTTTTGAACTCGATCATCCGGGCCGATGTGAGTAAAAACACAAGTTCTAAATCTCTTATGTGTGTGTGTGGGGGGGGGGGGGGGGGGGATAAGGGGGGGGGGGTGTTACTTAACATCAGTCACTTCAAATAATTACAATTGACTCAAGAGAAAAAAAAAAAAAATGCAGACTGACTCAACCCTAATATACCCAGTCTTGAGCTGATTCTGATTTCCGTCCGATCTTTGAATCTTGAAAATATCAGTAGTAAAGGCAGTCGAAAAGAAGCAAGAGTGTTTGCTAATCATCAAAACATAATTCATGCAGCAACCTCTCCCTTTCATGGGGTTGTAGGTCGACTAAACATGATTTCACCTATTGAGGCAAACACCATAGCATTGCTATACACAATGGTTATTGCTTCAAAATCAGTTTGTATCATTGGTTGCACATCTTATTTCAAACATCCAAGAGTTATCATTGAGAATTCCTTTCAAGTTTGGAATGAGGGTACTTGGAGGATGAAGCCAAAATTACACTATTTTACTCCAACTTGATTTAGTTGTTGGTGAGGTCAAGTAGGACAAGTCTATTACTCCTAAAGGCATCTGAAACAAAACTTTTTGAAAAACCTAAATTAGCATTGCTTCAGTGAAAAAATGCTTTAGGTCTTGAAAATCCAGCATCACATGCTAGAAGTGAATCTTAAAATGGCAAAAGGGCTCATTGGGCTCTTATCACATTCATAATAACTATACAATTATTTAGCTATCATTGAACACCAACAAACTACATGAATAATTATTTCTTGAAATTTGCAAAGTAGGTGATGCTCTCCAAAGTAAGGCAAGAGAATGACCTACCGTTGTCTCTTTGAAAGAAATAAACTCTACACTTCACCACATTGCTAATATTCAGGCGGGAGATCATTGACTTAAATGATCAATATGGTTAGTAAAGTTTCAGCTCCCTTAATTCCTCCTTTTATGTCTTTGTTAAAGGAGGAATGTGGGTGTAATTAATTATTTTTTTATAAATTACTTTATGCATTTCTTCCAAAAAAAAAAAAAACAGAAAAAAACGGAGGTATCATAAATTTGAATTGTGGATCTGCCTCAATAAGAAATCATTTATGGGTTATGCTTTACAGTATTGATTAGTCATAGGAGTCTCCTGAACAGTATACTCTAGTAGGTACTCATCCTTAGAAAGAGATTGGCAAAAAACATTCACATTGTGTGAGTAAGCAAAGGCAAATATGAAAGGCCATTGAGCCAAGTTCTCAAGCAATGATCAATCTTATCAAATGATTTTCTTTTTTATTCTATTGCTTAAAAGTAACAGAACCATAAGGTCACTTACTTTTCAAGAAGCTTTTCTCATCCTTGAGATATTTCAAGACCTATTTATTAGCCTTCAATTTTCATGCTCAACACATCTTTAAGATGTTGGATAAAATGTTGTTCATTGAAGCTAGATACTAACATTATTATCGATGCTAATGAAACCCAAATAGCTGAGGAAGAAAGAGAAATTAGAGCTTAGAGATTCTCTTAAATTGATAGGGTTACAAAGGACGTAATTGAAGCGTTAGATGGAGGAAGATGAATCTAGCAAAACTAATAGATAATCATAGTATAAATAATAAGAAAAAACTAAAAGGATTTCAATTAGCTAAAATTTTGGCCAAAATTAACAAATGATACAACATCAATTCTCGATTAATTATACCAACTATATAAAATTGCCTATATGGAGTAAATAGATAAAATGGACTTGGTATATCTAGTTATATATCAAGTATTGCTAATAGGTATCCACTAGGTTGGAATTTTTTGTGAGTAAATATCTTCGTGAGTTCTAGGGTGAACTTATTAGCTAAGTATTAAAGATAGGGTATAGATTGTCCTCTAGTTGGCTTGATGAGATTCGATCATGGGCGATTCAAAACTTTAGGCGACTTTTGTTTTGACAAATTCCAAAATTTAGTTCAAAATCAGCATGTTAAATACGATTCAAATTCTTATGATGATTTATGAGCTTGATTCACATAAGTATGAGTGTAAATATACCACAAATTATTATAGGTAACCAGTCCTGATAACATATCAGATGTATGCCGTTAACTTCTTGTTGACCTCTCTAGAAAGAAAACCATAATAGGTAATGTTTTGTAGAGATAGTATAGCAATAAAGAAGGACAAGATTTGGTTCAATTAAGGAACTTAGTTCTAACACTAATATAGATTACAATATTTTGTTGTCAAGAAATCATGACCAGAGCCATGAACGAGAAAAAGAAACAAAGTAATGATCAATGACAATGTCTAATAGTTGTTAATCAGGCACTAGCAGAAAAAATGAATAAACAGTCTGCGCTAAGAACCTATAAATCGGGTTCATGATTTGCAGAGAATCCCATTGATAGTAAAGCTTAAGTTTTACAGAAGATTATACACCATAAATTACATCCGTAGCTAAATAAGCCTGAGCTTAACTAGAACACTCTTTAATGACAAATATTACAGGGTCGTTACTGAAGACAATGACTAGTCACATGAGCATTTCAACAAAAATGTTGCAAATATCATTTAGAATTTTATGGTAACTTTATGATTTACAACATAGATATCGTTTGCAAACAATGCAGAATTTTCCAATCACACGGGAGCACTGCTAATGGACATTCTTAAGAACCAGTCAACATTACAAAATCCATATTCCCAAAGTTTCTACATATTGTTTTTTTTTTTTTTTTTGGCATATGAGCAGCAACAACATATTATACATTTAATTGAATAAAACTGAATAATTTAATCTATTAATGCTTCTTTATCCAGCATCTCCTAATTAATCATGGTTCCACACATTGCTTTAAGAAAAGTTTCATCACACAAGAATTGCAAAAAGCCAAAAAGACCTGGGGATTTAATTTTACATTTGCAGGTACCATCAGGCACATCATAGCATAGGTTGGTGAATGGTTGTTCCTATCCTATTCAATACTTTCCTTTCCGAAAAATTATATTCAATTGAAAACGTGAAGCTTGAGCTCACATAAACCTAAAGTTTCAATTCAATTGAATCAAACTCTTAATAATAAAAAACAAGAGGTGGAACTGTTAGCCCAGAATCCTTAAGGAAAGGTATCACCTGCGGCCTATCAACTAGATCTTGGTAAAAGGCATACTCTGCATCGTAATCGTGCAAATCTAGCTCCGCCTTCTGGTTTGTATGATAATGATGCTTAGCATCCGCCGATTTCCCAAACCCAAAGACGCTAACTTGATCACAAATCCCCAGAGCTAGCATCACTGCCTGCATCCCCGAGGAGTAATGGAACATCTTCTCATCATGAAACTTGGCCCAATCCTCAAATGGTTTTCCAGTCACCTCAGCGAATCTCTTCAGTGAATAATACTTGACAATTCTGCTACACAACATATCAAAACGGATATCAGTGATCAACAGAGGAGCTCTGTGGGAGGAGTTACAGATCGTGTAGTCAAGAAAGTGGACGGCTTGGCAAATGTACATGATCATGGGCACGTTCTCGCCGTAGGGATGGCAGAAGCAGCCCGGTCTTCGGGCGCAGAGATGGAGAATATTGCTATTCACAAATGAAAGACCAGTTTTGGAGCCGACTTTGCGCTGGTAGCCATGAGTGCGGGCGTTATTGAGCCGTATCACGAGCTCGTGGCCATCTATGAGCTCGCCGCGGTCGCTATTGAGGAGGATCCCGCTGTTTCCGACTACGGCGCAGGAAGCGTAGCGAGGGCTGGAGTCCGTCAATCCGTTGTGGCGGTCAAGGGGCCGTTTCACGAGTTTATAGAGCTCAGACATTATTTCCGGCTGGAAACGGCGGTTCTTCCACCAATCACGGAGGGATCGGCGGAGCTCTGGAAAGATATTGTAGTCACGAGGGGAGCGAACGCGGATCTGGACCCGGCCATCTAATCCGGCGCGAAGCCCGACATCAAAGTGGCTGTTCTCTCGCCGCCACATCGCGGCTGGGAGATGGCGCAACCCAGCGGAGGCGACGCGTGTAGAGGAGGGGAAGTTGCCTTCCAGAAGCTCGTCAATGTCCTTCCTCACACCTGTCTCTGCAAGATCCAACGAGGCAAGGCGGAGAAGGATGGTGACGTTGGACAACACCGATACGACAGGGGATGCGTCGGCGGCAGGAGATTGAGAGCCGAAGCCCAGACGGACGGAGGCGCGGCAACTGAGGAGGGTGATGATGGCCAGGAGAGGGAGTAGGCTGAATGGAAGCCGGAGCGAGAAGACGCGCTTCATCGATCTCCAACACTACAAGCTTGTCAAGCTAGGCATAACGTCGAACAGCTGAGCGATGGGTAGTAGAAACCTAATTTTCCACCCAGCGAGCTGTGAAGAAAGAGAGAGTAAAGTTAAAATTATTATGCTAATATCGAATTGATTAGGTTTAATAAAGGAATTCTTAAATAGAAGACGACATGTGGATGCTGGGTTCGTAATCCTTTCCTCCAAAATTTTGGGTTGAAGGAAAGGTGAGCGCCGCCGGATAAATAGATAAAGCCAGCAATAACATTCAATAAAATTTAATTACAATTAATATAAAAAGTTAATTATTTATTTATATAATTTTTTGTTTAAATAATTCTAAGCACTTTTTTTCTTGAACTCTAGAGCAAGGTAAGTGTGAACTCACGGAGCTAAAATTTATATTTTTCAATGAAAACATAAAAGTATATTTTTTTAAAGAAAAAAAGATAAAAATTTTATTTTAAGAAAATCATTTTATGGGGCATGGCAAAATCTACAAAAAATTTTTATGAGGGCACTAATTATCATAACTTAATCCTTTTAAAATTTTCTTAACACATTAAATTGTTGGATCTAAATTAACAATGGGTGATACTTTTGACATTACTAGTAGGCAAATTCTAAGAGTATAATCAGAAAGACTATGTGAGAATGGAGGGAGAGAGAGAGAGTAATCGACTAGCACAAATATCTGCCTTACAAGACCCAATGGATGTTAAAGATGCCAAAAAAATTCAAATGATCATCTCGACCAATTATTTATAGGGATATGAGGATTAATACAAATGTTGCATCAATAAGTAAACAAGAAATGCATGATTTAATGACTCTACAAAGTACTTTGGGTACATTTCACCAAACACGGCTGACTAAAGTGTTGAATCACCTTTCTCGAACTTTCCTTAAATGCCTGTGGGTGAAATCAATGGTGGTGAGTGCTTGTGGATGAGTAGGAACAATTGTGTTCATTGGAAAGTTTTGAATTGAGAGAGTTGAGGATGGATGACACCCACAGATCATTATGAGCCTACATTAGAGCACTATTTTGCCTTACTGATAGAGAGGCAAGTGAGCTTGAGTAGCATGGTGTATGAACTTCATGGTCAACTGATTATAATACAGAGAGTTGGAGTCTTTTGGGGAGGCACCTTCCTTATATTTGAAGTGGCGAGTGAGATTAGCACTACCCCCATCGTGGTGGATGGAAAGAAACATTGACATCATGATCTTCATCTTCGGTGAGTGGCAAGTTAAATGAATTATGAGTAGTTTAGATTATCTGTATGCGAGGTGAACCAATATTAACTCCTTTACAAAGCTATATTTCATGACCTTTGCGTGAGCTCTTTTATGGACTCACAAGATGCAAGCTTTGTTTTCCATGACTCGCTAATTACTTTTTAAATACCTAAAAAGGCCTTTGTTAGTTTCCATTTAGCTCTAGAATTCATTAGACCCTTTGGTGGGTGAAGGATTAAAAGGGCAAGTTAATTAATGATGAGAACTAAATAGAGTTGCCAAATTATTACAAGATTAAATATGAAGTTACTATACTATTTTTATAATAATCTCAGTTTATTTTCGTGTTGATCCATCCAATAATCTTCACATTAGCATGCCAAGAATTCAATGCAAATGATCCTCTTCACTACAACAGAACCCCTATAACTACCACCAAACAAGAAGCAGTCTAAGAACAACTTTGGACGCAATTGAAGAAAAATCGAATCCCCAAAACCTCTGCCACACAAACCTTCATCAGGCATACTATGCTAATGGATGAACACCATCAAAATGGTGGTTCGCTCAACTCCACAATAAAGGATTCCAAAAAAAATATTCGCTTAAAATCCAGAAGAACCAAAACCACACAAGAAGGGATCAGAAATTACCCCAGAAGAAAAATCAAACCAAGAACAATCGATAGAAACACCAAGCCTACAGAGAACCTTCGCCAAGATAATCTTCATCCAAAACAACCTCAGAAATTCTGTGAAAGAAAAATCTCATTCATCCCAAAACAAATCAGATCTGAACATGATTGAAAAAACCATTCCAAGAAAATCTAACAGCCATTACAGGCCGACGTAGAACCTTTGAATGCCAAAGGTCAACCAAATGCCCATTCAAATAATTTGGTCTACCGAAAACCCCTACATCCAGAATCAAGTTAACTTTGGAATTAGAAAAAGAGATCCACGTTGGCCCTCCGTCGGCCATACCAGATCGACGGAGAACTTCCAACCTCCAATGCTCCATTAAAATCGCTGCTTTAAAATTGCCACTTTAAAATGCCGCTTAAACAATAAAGTTAAGCAATCAAGGTTAAATATTTTACTTAGTGACTATAAACTATTTAGCATGAAACCTAGTGAATCGATATTTGAAAATTATACTAGGTTTACACAAAGTATCACCTCCTTGTATACCTTAGGAGGAGATCTAACTAATTATGAGAAAGTTAATAACATTTTGAGATGATTGCCTTCTTCCTTTGATGCTAAGATTAGTGCTATAACTAAGTCCAAAGATTTAAATATTTATTCAATAGATAACTTACTTGGATCACTAATTGCTTACGAGCAAAAAGTGAACCAATGACAGTTTGATGCAGGTGAGAAAAAGAAGAAAAAAAACTATAGCCTTAAATGCTAATGATATGGATATTAATTTGTTTGGTATTGAAAGTGATCAAGTTGCCCTAATTACAAGGAAGTTCAAATGCTTTTTGAGAAAGAAATAAAGCACCGTCATAAGTGGAACAAAGGTAAGAGTATCAAGAATTCTAAACTTTCTTCTGATGTGATTTGTTTTGAATCCATGAAGCTCGGTAATGTAAAAGCTGATTACCCTACATTTAAGGCTCACCCAAGCAATGAAAAGGGTGAGGAGAAACCCAAGTTCAAAAGGATAAGAAATAGATCCATAAGGCTTTTTGGGCGAATTATGCATTTGACTCATCTAAGACTAAAGCTGAAGAGGAGATAGCAAACTTGTGTTTAATGACAAACAAACATCTTCGTCATTCTGATCAAGAAGATGTATGCAAATTATCATATGATCAATTACTTTAAGTTTTTAAGAAAATTAACTCATAGGAAGATTAAAATATTGTATGATAGTTTGAAACATGAATTTCCAAATTTATAAAAGAGCATGAAATTTTGATTAAAAATCATTCTACACTTGATAGCAGTCACATGAAATAGTTAGATGAGTTTGACGAATTGAACAAATAGTATGAATTATTGAAATCATCCAGCACTTTACTTAAAAATGATTTTAAAACATTTACGGATGAATCTGAGAGTATGGAGCACTATTTAAAAGTTGATAATACTATTTTAGAAAATGCTAACATATTTTTAAAAGCTGAATTGAAAGCACATAAGGAAAATAAGATTACACCCACCCCAAAAAAATTTTTCAATCCTACTCCGAATCAAAAAATTTTAAAATCTTGGAAGATGCATTATAACCTGAATAGATTAGTAAACCCTTTTCCTAGTGTTAAATATTTTTCATATGTCATGCTAAGAAATATTTCCCACATATGCACGATGCATTGTAGAACACATTTGGTATGGAGACCCAAATTTCATGATTCACATCATAACACACATTAATTGTATTCTTCTTTCCATAAGAAGGGACACAAACCAATTTTGGTTCCTAAATCTAACATTTGATGACTTTGTTGGTGTGCTATCACATAAGGCCTCATGAGAGCTCGTGGTACCTAGAAAGTGAATACTCATGCCACATGATTGGATATCCAAATCAATTCATTTCACTAGAGGCCAGGTCTAGAGGCAAGGTCACTCTTGGAGATGACAACACCAGGAAAATGGTGGGTGCAGGTATAATAAAAAACTTCAAGAACTTTTTGATTGAAAATGTTTTACTTATTAATGGCTTAAAATGTAACTTCCTCATCATCAGTCAGCTATGTGATAAAGGCTTTATCATGAATTTTTTGTCAAATATATGCATCATAAGCATGAATAACAACACTATTTTGTAGGGAAAAAGAATCAATAATATTTACATGTTTGATTTAAATAATATTTAATATGTTACATCTTTTTGATTAAAAACTATTATTGATGAGTCTTGGTTGTGATATAGGAGGTTATGTCATGCTAGCCTGAAAATACTTAGAAAAGTAACATAAAAGGACTTAGTAAGATGAATCCCCAAGCTTAAGTTCATTAAGGACCTCCTATGTGATTCATGTCAATAAGGGAAACAAGTCAAATCTTCTTTCCATTCCATTGAGGACATTAAAACCTCTAAACTTTTAGTAGTCCTTCGCATGGATTTGTTTGAACCCATTAGCACTGCCAACTTTAGGGAAAAAAGTCTTTAGATTTATAATAGTCGATGACTGTTCGAGGTTCATTGGATTAGATTTTTGTCACATGAAAATAAGTCATTCAATGAATTTAAATCATTCTACACTTGGATTCAGAAAAAACTAGGTTATAAGATCTTCACCATTTTTAATAACCATGGTGAAGAGTTTGAGAATGTGAGAATTGGAACTTTCTATGAGGAACAAGGGATTAGTCACAACTTCTCAACTCTTAGGACCCCTCAGTAGAATAGGGTAGCTAAAATGAAGAACATGACCTTAGTAGAAGCTGCTAGAGCCATGCTTGCTGAATATTCACTTCTAAAATACATTTGTGCTAACACAGTAAGCACAACTTGTTATGTGTTGAATAGGGTGAATGTTAGTTCCAAACTAAATAAGATACCCTATTAGATTATTAAGGGTAGGAAACCCAAAATATCTCACCTCCACATCTTTGGTTGTAAGGTTTTCATTTAAAATAATGGGAAATCACTCTTAGGAAAGTTTAACCCAAAATCTGATGAAGGAGTGTTCTAAGGCTATTCTAGTGTGGGAAAATCATTTAGGGTATTTAATAAGAGGACTCTGATGGTGGAGAAGACTACTCATGTAATATTTAATGAATTTAATTCTGAGAAGACTAGAGTTGAGGAGGAATAAGAAGGTGAGATTACTAAAGGAGTGGAAAATACAAATCTAGAGGAAAGGGTAGAACTTCAAAACACTATTAAAGTAGATGAGATTATCCAAGAAGTAGAATCTACAAATCTGGAGGAAAGGGAAGTACCTCGAAACACTTTGCCTAGAGATTGGATATATTCATCGAGTCATCCTAAAGAACTAATCTTAAGAAATAATTCTGAAGGCGTTAAAACTAAGCGTGGACTTAGAAAAGAAGTTAACCACTCTACCTTCATCTCATTGATTGAACCCACCAACATCAATCAAGGC